ATCGGTCATAAAGAGTTTTAATCGATTAAAAGAAGTTTGTATCGATTAAAATATTGTAAAAACACTTTTTAAAACATTCTAAGTGTTTTAAATTGATTCTTTCAAACACTATATCAGTTAATAACATTGTTTAAGAAAATTCTTTGCCAAAATGCTTTTGTTTTTGATTTGTTTAAAACTATTTTTGAGGCATTTTGCAAAATGAGTGAAGAAGCTTTATGCAGTGGAAAAGGTAAAGTGGTTTTACCTAAGCTTTCTGTTAAGACACACTAAGTCTTCAGCTCCATTCTTCTGAGTGACTTGTTTGACTGCTGCAGAGTTGACCCTTGACTTTATCTTTGACTTCATCAAATCAATGAGATCTTTGCTAGGATCACTTTCAGCCAGTTGATGATGAGTGGACACATAGGAGGGTTGGATATGATTGTGTTGTATTTCATCACGAATAAGATGACAATCCACTTCAATATGTTTTGTCCGTTCATGAAACACAGGATTCTTGGCAATGTGAAGGGCAGCTTGGTTGTCACAGTAGAGAGTCATAGGGTCGGTGTGAGTAATGCCTAGGCTCGAAAGAAGGCCTTGAAGCCATTTCAACTCACATGTCGTGTTGGCCATAGAACGATATTCTGCCTCAGCGGATGATCGAGAAACCGTATGTTGCTTCTTGGTTTTCCAGGAAACGGGGGATTGACCAAGGAAAATAAACCAACCGGTGAGAGATCTTCGAGTTAGAGGACAACTTGCCCAGTCCGAGTCACACCAACCATAAAGACGAAGGTCACTCTCTCTTTTAAAAGCACACCCCGACCTGGGCTGCCCTTTAAATAGCGTACCACGCGGAGTGCAGCCCGCCAATGCTCCTCGACGCGGTTGGTGCATGAATTGAGATAGGACATGAACACCGTAAGATAATTCGAGTCGTGTAAAACACAAGTAAATAAGGCGACCGACGAGACGTCGATATTGACTCGGGTCGGAAAGTAGTTCGCCATCGCCCAATGCTAAACGATGATTTTCTTCGATTGGCGTGGACACGAGTTTCCCTCCAAGCAATCCCTGCTTCAGCTATGATGTCCAACGCATACTTCCGTTGACACAAGAAAATTCCTGTAGGAGATCCGGCAACCTCCACCCCAAGAAAGTATTTTAATTTCCCTAAGTCCTTCATACGAAAACATTGATGAAGATAATCTTTGAATTGCGCAATGTCTTCATGATGATTGCCGGCAATGACTAGGTCATCCACGTAAACTAACACAACCAGTTCGACATCTCCTTTGCGAAAGATGAACAAGGATGAACGTTGAAACCCATATTGAATAAGAGCGAGTTGAGAGCTTGGCAAACCAACACCGAGGAGCTTGACGAAGACCATAAAGGGACTTGCGGAGACGACACACCATACCTTTTTGAGACACCAAGAACCCCGGCGGCATTTTCATGTACACATCTTCCTCAAGATCGCCGTGCAGAAAAGCATTATGGACATCCATTTGATGAAGTTCCCGGTCTTTGGCTACCGCCATCGCCAACACCTGTCCGAATGGTGACCATCTTTGTCACTGGGCAAAAGTCTCGTCATAGTCAATCCCCTCAACTTGGTGATTTCCCAAGACAACTAATCGGGCTTTGAAGCGTTCAACGCTCCCATCGGAATGATATTTGATTTTATAAATCCACTTGCAACCCGGAGGCTTCTTCCCCGCTGTAGAGGAGTAATGTCCCATGTTTCATTACTTTGGAGGGCCTGAATTTCACTAGCCATGGCATCTCTCCATCTAACATCCCGAACAGCCTTCGAAGAAATGCACAGGTTCTCTCTCCGCATGAAGGGCTGCAAGAAAGGTTCGGTGGGGGAAGGAGAATTTAGCACAATTTAAGTACTTTGTCAAACCGTAAGGCATACCCGAGGAAGATGAATGTGGAGTGCGAATTGAGGGACCGAGTTGTAAAGTGGTGTTAGTGACATAATCACGAAGCTTCACGGATGGCTTTCGTACACGAAGACCTTTCCCCGTGGATGCGTGGACAAGTATGCTCCTCAGGAACCTCTAGTTCCGTCATCATAGAGTCAGCTTGTTCTGGTGGGAGAACGATCCGGGTGAGAGGCTCTTGTTCATGGCATTCAGCGTGGCCCTCCCCGAACTCGCTTGTGGGCACATCTTCCGTTGTGGGGTTAACGTCATCGGTCTCCACAACGTGTTCTCGCATTGTTCATTGCACCAAGTCCAGGCAATGCTTCCTCGACAATGCCAACATCAACGAGAGGCAATCCTACCTCCGAATGTCTACCGTGGGCAAGAGAGGCAAACGAGAATTCATGTTCTACAAACTTAACATCTCTCGAAGTCCGGAAGACTTCTCTTTCCGGATCAAACAATTTCCAGCCCTTTTTTCGATTGAATATCCAACAAATACATTCTTGCGACTTCTACTTGCAAATTTGTCACCTTTCCTATCTTGGTTATGTGCATAACACAAGCATCCAAATACCCGTAGATGGTCATAAGTGGGTGGCTTCCCATTCAATATTTCATATGGAGTTTTTCCATGGAGAACGGTTGAGGGTGTACGATTGATCAAGTATCCCGCGGTCAAAATGCATTCTCCCTGCAATTGAAGTGGAAGTTCTCCCCGAAATCGTAGAGCACGAGCTACATTTAGGATGTGTCGATGTTTTCGTTCGGCTCTCCCATTTTGCTGAGGTGTTCCAAAGGCATGAGGTTTGATGGAGTATCCCATGTTGCTCGAAAATATCGTTGAAGACACATAAACTCGGCTCCATTGTCACTTCGTAATATTTTGACTTGTTTCTCGTATTGTCGTTCTATTAAGGCGATGAAATGCATTAAGGTTTGTGACACATCTTTCTTATTATTCAAGAGATATATCCACACAGACTCGAGAACGAGTCATCAACCAAAGTGAGAAAGTAAGATGCACCACAAGACGAGGGAGTTCTATATGGACCCCATACATCACAATGTATTAAATCAAATATATTAGATGCTTGAAAATCACTTAAAGGAAATGTGTTTCTGCATTGCTTTGATCTCTCACACACTTCACACACACGAGTTGTATCCGTATTTCTATTCACGCTCGTTCGGATGCGGAATTTTTCTAACAATCTGGTAGGCGGGATGTCCCATTCGCTTGTGCCAAATCTCTAGTTGATTTTCTCGCATTGGTCCGATACGCCTTTATGCCACTCACACCATGATACCAATAGAGTCCCTCTTTTCGTTCACCCGCACCAATCAGCATCCTCGAAGTGTGGTCCCGCATTGCACAAAATCTATCGATAAAATGTACCTGTACATTTTACTTCATTCGTCAATTGTGATACCGAAATCAAATTGCAATTCAATTTCGGAACATATAGAACATGTTTAAGTTTCAGTCCTCCATCAAGGAAAACTGATCCTTCTTTGTTTGCCAAGCACCAATTCACCATTTGGTAGTCCCACTCGGGCACCCTTCCAAGGCTCGACTCTCCCTCAAGTTTTCTAGTGTTCCTGTCATATGATTAGAGGCGCCACTATCAATAATCCACAAGTCACATGCTTTCTTACCGAGTCATCTTTTCAGTTTCATTTGCCTTGCGAGAATTCAACATTCGTTGTCAAGATCTCGCCATTGCTCATTACTCGATCCTGCGACTTCGGTTTTTCGGTTGAACCAACGTTATCCGCACCGAGTGTGCGCCATATTGACGCGAGCCGTTCCTCCTTTTCCTCGGAAGGTTCCTGTTCTTTGTTGATTTTTTTCATCGTTTTTATCGGTTCGTGGTCTCTCTCCCCACCATTCTGGGTAACCAATGATCTTGAAGCAATTGCCTTTGTCATGTCCCTTCCTTCCACACCGCATGCAAACAACCGATTTTTCTTTCGCTTCATTGCGCAACTTGTTCCTGGTTTCCGCTCGCATAGCCATTCCCACGATCATTCCTCGCTCTTCTTTAGACCTGGTGATTGTTCTCACCCTTTCTTCTTGCACCATGGTGCCATACACCCGATTCAACGAGGGTAATGGATCTCGTTGCCAAAACATTTGACCGTGCAGTTCCATAGCCCTCATCATCTAGCCCCATCAAGAACTCGATGAATTTTTTCTTCTTCTCTTCGTTTCTCAAGTTGCGTCATAATATTACACTTGCATCCCCCACATCTACACCGTGGGATTTGCTCGTAATTTGCCAGTTCATCCCACAACGTTTTCAACTTCCCATAATAGGAAACCATAGTCATTCCTTGTTGTTTGCATTCCGCCAACTCGACTTTAGCTGCTGGATTCTTGGTCCGTTCACGATCGAGAATCGTTCCTTGATGTCATCCCATAGGTCCTTTGCGTTTTCCATGTATGCAACAGTGGAACGCAAACTAGGTTCTATAGTGTTTAGTATCCAAGATACAAGCATCGATTGAATTGTCCACCAATCTTCTATCTTAGATGTGTCTTCTTCAGGTTCCTTATGAGTTCCATCTATGAAACCCCATTTCCTTCGAGCCCGCAGAGATATCTTCACGGCCCTTGCCCATTCCTCGTAATTCTCTCCTCGTAATTGTACCTGTGTAATCACATTTCCAGGATTATCACTGGCACTCAGATCGTATGGCGATGGTGTTTTCTTCACCGTCTCTCCTCTCTCTGCCATTTTAGAAGTACGACTGTGTTCTCGGGCTGTTGGATATCAGAGTTTGGTTCGCTCTGATACCATGATAAAAATATTCCCCAAAACCCCTGTCTTGTATTGAATATGATAGCACAATATATACATGAAATACAGAAACATTCTAGGCTATAATTACGCTAACCATTATAGTCGGTATCCTAAATTTGTCTATTAACAGATATGACATTAATGTGCATCACTGTGCATCGCTGTCATGCCAAGCTAAATATGGAAAAAATTAATCATGTAGAATCATGGCATGATACGGTATTTGTAATCGTATATTCTATGTTTATCAGGATGCCTCAAAGTAACAATTTGTTCAAAGTAACCCAGCTGGCTCAGGTCCACTGAGCACCCCAAGAACAGAGGAATTATAGCCGGAAATGATTAAATCATCCATCAACATAGAGGAAAGAGGGAAGAAGAGGGAGAAGATACTATGCATACAAATTGTACTTCACAAAAACCATACCAAGCTACACGGTGAAAGATTTATGGTGACCAAATGTAATCGACCAACCCCCATCCGCTTCTGTCAAATGATGAAATTAAAACTCAGCATTTTAATTGGTAGAGGAAACAGAAGAGAATCATCTAAATATCCGCGTACATGACGATGGAAACTACACAATCCAATATTACTGCTGAGCCTAACGTCATGAGACAATTGCGTTGAACCTGGACAGACCATGTTGAAATTGTCGTAAAAGTTAATGCAATCAGTTCACAGTTGAAAACAAGTTCTCCCTTTCAACCCAATACCTCAGTTTCTAGACAATGGAAAATAAAACCTGCAAGAAAACAAACAATAACATTCGCAAGAAAAAAAGAAACTCAACAATTCACTGCAATCTTTATCCTTTGACAAATTTCCAGCAACTGAACTAAGTTCAGTCCTGTTCATTTAAATTGAGATAAATTTGACTTCGTAATGATAAAAAAAAAAGAAGGAAACAAAACCCTAGATATTCGCGTCAAAATTATAAGAAAGTTATCCGAATGAGTTTTTAACAACGTGTTTCTGGTGGAATTTTGATCGATTTTGATTCTAAGGGTGTTTTGGTCCTAAGCAAAATTCTACCACGTAAGTTCTTTTTACTTAGGCTAGCAATCTGATTTTCAATCGACAACGTGTATGAGAATCGACAATTACATGTATTGAAAACTCTGTTTTTGATATTTTTTGTGATTTAAAGTATCGAAAGCAGTAAAGACGTCAAATCGGAAAAGCGGAATTTTTAAAGTGCGAGACAATGTAAAGTGCTAAACCCATTAAGATTGCGTGAAAAGTAAATAACAGGAAATCGAAACATGCGAAAATCGAAATGGACAGAATATTGAATGACTAGACATTTAGATGCAGAAATCTAATTTGACATTGAATCGAAATGACATTGAATGTAAAGTACAAAAACATGAAATTGATGAATCGAAATTGCTCGAAAGTAAATTACCAAGGAAAATAAAGAAAGCGATAAATGTACTCCGTGAGCAGGGAAATCCAGACCGCCAGAAGCTTCATGGTGTTCGTCGTTTCTCCGGTAGACTTTTCACTACTGGTTCTGTGCTCTGCCAATTTTTGCTCCCCGTTCCTTTCTCCTTTGCTCTATTTATAGGGCATCCTTCAAGCTTTCCGAGAGCAGTTAACGCGACTGCTACCACGTTCTACGTGCGTATGGCAGTTTATCTTCTATAGTTTCCCACGTTCTCACGATCTCCCACTTTTTCTATGATTTCAAAACTACTCTTTATACGTGCGTTTTGACTACTTCCCTTCGAGGTTTAACCGGGGTTTCGATATACACGTAAACGAGCCTTCCCTTCGATTTCGACTTAATCGAGAACTTTGCATACCTGGCATCGATTCATTTTAACCTTAACTTCATATACTTCAAATTTCTTGGTTTGTTCTGTTAAGCCTTCGATTATTACTCCTACCCTTCCGACTCTACCTTTCGATTTTATGTGCTACGCTCTTTATAATTGGACATCGAAAAAGTTATCATACACTTTGTTTCTTGAATTTCTTTCGTTCGTTTATCGATCATATTTCTCGATTTTCTACTAACAAAATGCCCCCTTGGAAGAATATAAATAATTTCTGTTTTATATTCTTTCAATATTCCCGCCTTAGTGTTTGAAAGCCCATAAAGTTTAGGGTTTAGGGTTTCTGGGGTTTTAGGTTAAAAGGGGTTTTAGGTTTCTTTTCCTCTTTACGTCACCATCATATCAGTCTGCTGCTTTCGCAGTACGCTGCATTTATTACCTTTCACCTCCGTCGTTCTGTCTCCCTATACGATTTCCCCTTAACCTCTCAACCTATCTTCACTTTGGCTTTACGTGAACCTTTATCCTCTTTTGCATTCTTGTCTTCTTCTCTGAGCTCCTGTCTTCGTCCCTGTTACCTTACCTGTCAACCTCTTCCTTATTACTTCTCTAATTTTGCTATAATGGCCTCTTCATCTAAGTCATCCGATTTCTCGGCTCCACCTCTTACCTCATCCACTGCTACCTTGCTGGAGATTAACAACCAGCAATTTGCTCCTTTGCCTCTGATGGAGGAGGCCTCCAAAAAGATCGCTGAAACTCAGGTATTAGTTCCTTACACTGTTGGTGGGGTTGGTTTTGGTTTTGGGGGCCCCATTCTTTCTGGGAGTGGAACCGTTTCTCCCCTCACCCTCTCAAGCAGCCCTGCTCTCGTTCATCAACCCGAAGTTAGGATCAATTTTTTGAACTTTGTTTCCAAGGTGTATAGGACAGGCCCTCCCTCCAAAAAATCTTTGTTCACTAGATGGTTTGATAGGGTTAAGGCTAAATTTGGGAACCATTGGAGGAACGTGGGGATTTTTGATTTTCTACATTTGTCTCAATGTGACTTATCTTACCTAGACATGGCTATGTTTCTGGCTGCCGTGCACTTATGGAATAAAGAGATACATGCGTTGGAATTACCTTGCGGCCCCCTCTCACCTACTCTTCTCGATGTCGCAGCCATCACTGGGTTAAAACCTATAGGGGAAAGATACTTTCAGGGTGCATGTCCCTCGAATAATTCGTTGAAGTCTAGAATCGATTGGGAATCGAAGGCCTACGGGCATTTTATTGAGAAACACTTCGTTGATGACCCCTCAATAGATGTTACTGATGAAGAACATATAGCGTTTTTGGTGTACTGGCTGTGCACTCATGTGTTTTGCCCCCGATCGATCCAAATTTCCCCCCATCTCTTCAACCTTGCGTATCTCCTTCACTTAGGTCAACCTCGCCTATGTTTGGCCAAGCTTTTGTTAGCACATGTATATACCGCTTTCGACGAGGCTGTCGAAATCTTAAGTACTCCTAAGACATCGGGGAATTTTTCTGGCCCTGTTTGGTTCATACAGCTATGGTTAACATCCATTTTTGAGAGTGTCCTTCCTCGATATTCTACTGTCCCCCTGAGTGTAACTATAGAAGGGGCTCGATTATCCTCCCGTCACCCTCGCTATAAATCTGACGAAGCCACATATTGTAAATACCTCCAATTTTTGTTAACCAGATTTGTTTTTGATTCAACTCTAGCCCCGTTTACTATAAATTTTGAGCGAGTAAGTGACCAACTTAGGGGACCGATCTGGTTCAAGTCAAGATTTCCCGCCTCAACCCCTGGGTTACAATTAGAACTGGTCGATATATGGAGTGGCTACTTGACCCATGATGTACTAGTATCGGGTTTCCACCCCAGGGATTTCAAGTTCGTTACTTACTACCCTCAGCTTTTTTCCAGACAGTTTGGCCTGAGCCAGTCTTTACCTTTTTTCCCTTTCACTACCTTCCCTAAATCCAAGTTGACTGACTCGAACATCGGCCGAGAGCTTGCTAAATTTTTGCCAAGACCCTCGATGCATTTTTACCCATATGCATTTGAGTCAAATTACTTATCGACTGTGGAATTTTCTCAATGGTGGACCAATTGGTTTTCGAGTAATCGTGCTATTTTTGATGAGGTTCGACAGAGACTGACTGCTCATCCTTCTCTTGTGTTGCAGGACAAATCGAAGGCGAAGAAAGGTAAACACTCCCACTATCTCCAAATAACTCGATTCGAGCATTTTTATCAAATATGTTACAACCCATTGAGATTAGAATCGACCTTTTATGACGCTGTCATTTCCCTGTCTCACAAAACCACTGCTAATCGAATCGATCGCAAAACAATCAATCCTTTAGGGAAGACCCCTTTTGAGATATATTGTCCCAATCGCCTTCCTACTTTTCCCAATGCTCCCTTTGGAGTTGCCAAACTTTTAACACATCCTAAATGGGTTCGAGAACTGAGAACTTCGAAAGAAACATTACATCCCAAACCCAAAAATAAAGATATTACTCGTGTCGAGACTATTTTATTTCCCTTACCTTAACCTCCCCGAAGCTTTCCCGCCTCCTTGGCTAGTACATATCGACCGAGTCAAAATTTTGACTCCATCACCTTTTGGTGAGGTTTTACTGTTTTTTCTTTAATTTTCGATTCTATGTTTTGAAAATTAACTATCTTCATTCCTTGATAGTTGCAAAATCTACTAAGGTAGTCGCCTTCGAAAAGGTGCAAGAGAAGGAGAAGGAAGCAAGCTGGGAGTCCCCAGATGAATCGGACCCTCTGGCCTTCACCAGGAAACGAAAACAGTCGGCCACCACCACCACTTCGTCTTCGAAAAAATCGAAGGTTCTTTTCGATCTCTTTGTCTCATCCATTCTTCTGTTTATAACATGTTTCCCTATGGAGTCTCATACCTCTTTTCGATTTCTACCCTACAGAAAAAATCGAAGAGTCCCCGATCAGTCCAACCATCCACAGCAGACCCATTGTCGATGGATTCGAACACCGTTCCTTCTACGGGTCAAACAACGCCCGTCACCCATTCCAGTCACGTGAGTTTCCTTTTTCTCTAACCTTCATGTCTTAGATTTTGTTAAGACTTGTATCATGACTTACATTTTCGATAAATTTTCTAGGATAATCCATCGGTGACTGTATCGACTACTGTCGAAACTCAACTTCAGCCTTCAACGCCAGTCCCTGAGGTATAATTCTATTTTACTTGTGTATCTCTCTTTTGTCTTGCTTATATTTCCTTTTCTAACTCTCTGTTTCGATTTATAGCAATTTGAGGCTGTACGGAGTCCTCCTCGTGCCTCGACGCCGCTTGCTCTTCTTCCACCTCGGTATTTTCCTTTTTTCTTTCATCATTTCGATTCTTTATTTTATCCTTTATATAACTCTAACTTACCTTTTTAACTTGTTTTCTTTTTCAGTAATTATTCCCACGGTCCAAATCCCGGACTCCCCATCTCCCACTACCACCGAACAAATGGGTTCTCACCCATTCTCAATGCCCGGGGTCGAACTCATCTCCCCAACGTTGCCCATGTTGACCGGCCTATTTCTACCAATGTGCCGGAGTATCGAGCCGCCATCGAGGAAGACCCTTTCTCGATTCTCGATATTTTGGTATCGAGGGATGCCACTTCCTCAAGCCGTCTTCTCAACCACCAATGATTTCGACCGAAGGAGTGTATCAGCTCAAACAACGCTTCGTAACTTTCTTCTATTCCTCGCCTCCGGAGGTCCTAGTAGAATCGATCGAAAAGAAGAAACTTTTTAAAGAGATTCTCGCATCAATAGAGACCTTCCCCGAAGAGGCTCTTCCAAAAGGCTTTGATGCGGAGGTCGCGGCGGCCACAGAACTGTTCAACCGGGCCTATGCTGCAAGGAAGAAGAGGCAGTCGATTACAACTGAATTGACTGAAGTTGCTGCTTTCCAAGCTGAAAAATCTA